CACCGGGTCCAGAGACATAAAACACATTCCCTCCACATCCTTAGAGTGAAAGAGTTGTCCTTGTCTACCCACTCCAGCTATTTTCTCTAGTGTCAAGTTTGGTTCTATGATTTATGGGTGAAAAGTGTGAATTCAAGGAAAACGTAGTCTTCCATTATTTATTCATACTATCCTTCAAAGTTACCCCACTCAAGAATCCACAACCATTTCTTTATTTTAACTGTGTGCAGGCATGAACGGATGTGTCTGTTAAGTGTTAGTGCTGCTAATGCACTTCCTGACAGTCAATTTTTAATTCCTGGCAGGGGTCTGATGTCCAAATCTCACCAAAAAAAGAAGAAATTCACAAAAATTCCTATTCACAAAGGAGTTGTGTTAGCACTTACTGAATGCCAGTTTGTGATGAGAAGGCTCCAATGTTTCTAAATTATGCATGGCTGTGCATCCAGCAGATCCTTTGCTTTATTTGCTAGAGCCTCACTTGCCAGAGCACTCCAGGGAAGGAGGAGAGGCTCCTGTCAACACGAATACAGTCAACCAGAGAAAGAGGATTTCACCAGTTAGCTGATCAAGTTTCTTTATTCTGGTATTTTTCCTCTCTCCCTCTCCCCCAGCCCTGTTTCTGCTGCCCTCGGGGAAGGCAGGGGCAGGGACCACAGGCTCCACTTGCAGCCTGCGTGGGAATGATGACACTGCAACATGTGGGGCTGTGTCTCTCCTCCTCCCCCAGCCTGGCAGCCAGCACTGACAACGTGTGACTCAACCACACCTACACTTGTTCATCCCCTGAGCATCCCAGAGCCACCTTTGCCATGCGCCTGGAATGGTGCAGAGCCCACTGAGCAACATCCTGCTAGTGAGGATTGAAACAAACCTGTTTAGGAAAGAAAGCCCTCAAAATGCAGCACTTGGCACCTCTCAAATTGTTCTGTTTGGATTTTATTGGAAAGGAGACTTGGAGGGGGCTGGCTTTGAAGCATTTCTTATTTTGAAGTTAATTGTGCTGTTAGTTATCACTCAATCCATCAGAGAACACAAGATGGTACAAGCCAGACCCCTGTGCTGGGCAGATATCAATATTCATGTAAAACAGAATCAACTGAAGCACTGATTTAGCTGAACAGAAATTATTTTACTGCAGCAAAGCAAAACCATTTAAAAACATTATTAGCCTAGTAAATCTGTTTTGTTGTTGTTTTTTTCCAGACTGGAACAAAAATCTCAAGGCTGTTAAAGCCCCACAAAACCAACTCAGGGTAAGCTGTTTGTTTCACTGTTTAAGAGACAACTGAATTCCCAGTCACATCCTGAAATTACTCTCAATCAACCCAGCCACTCCAGCATATTCATCAGCTATAGGTTTACTAACCCAGGCTGTTTAAGGAAATAACTAGCTGTTAACTGCACCAATCTTCCTAATTATTAAAAACAGAGCTATAACCTGGCTGTCTCTGACATCATTAGACTTGAAAGAACAAACAAAATCCATTTGATAAACTCAGAAGTGCTGCAGAGGGCAGGTAGAAAACCAAGCATGGTCTTCCTTCCCAACACAGGGACACCCCTGGCCATGTCCCCAGCCCAGTTCCTGGCAGCAGTGCCCACACTGGCTCCTGCAGCCTTGGTGCAGAAGTTCCTCATGCTCCTTCGAGATTTCATTTCTCCATCTATTACCTTTCCTGTTTCCCAGGTGCTCTGCCTCCCTTCCAGCTACAACCCCATACAAGCTGTGTGTTCTCTGGGATCACCCAGGGACAATCCTGTCCTGGGTTCACATCTTGCAGCAGGATTTGGAGATTTTCTCTTCCAGTCCAACATTCCAATCCCATGTCTTGGGCAACTCTACGTGACTCATTGTGCTTGATCTCCTACCACCACACAGGTATAAGGACCCCTGTTCCATGGCAGCCATCATCCTAATGCTCTGCTTCTTTGATCTGAACTTGATAAACCTCAAATGAACATTCCTGGGGTCCCCTGCACCCCACAAGGCTACTGGGGCTCCAAGTTGATTTCCTACTGAGCACAGCAACTCACTCAGCAGCCCCCAAGGTCCTTCCCCAAAGTCATACTCCTGCCTGTTGGCCGAGTGTCCAACTCAGACTCCTCAGACCCCCCTGTCCCAGCCCACAGGGCAGGCAGACAGAGCCAGCTGGATCCACTGCAGCTGTCTTCTCCTCTTCTCCCACCTGGCACACATGGTTCTTTACAGCTGACTAAGATGAATGCCCATATCCATGGCAGTCTCCTCAGCACAGTGCCCACAGCAGCACCGACCAGAGAAGATGCTTGTTCTCAATGTGTTTCAGTGTATCCTGGCAGCTCTGCCAGTCCTGTGCTGGCAATCAGGAGCCTGAGCTGAAAACAATTAAAAATGGAATGGCATGGCTCTCTTACCTGGGAATTGACCCAGAAAGGAGATTACAATAAGGCTGTGGGAAAAAGCATGAGGTAGTTTACAGTTCCAGTGTTCTACCTCTGAGCCAAGTGTGCAATGAATAATGATAAGCCTCAGCCTGATGTTGCTCCTACTATCATAAGCACAGGGTTTTTCTGTGGATTTGAGGGGTTTTGGTTTGGTTTGGTTTTTCTTGTTTTTCTTTTAAAACCATACACACACATGCTCTGCCATGCATGGAAGCAGCAAGTCCATAGAGTCCACCCCACCAGCCCTCCACACTGCACCGTGGCTGTGCTCGAAACAAGTGACTCAGCTTCAGGCTCGAAGTAGCTGCTCCTGCACAACACAGCTGCTGGAGATAGATGCAAGAAGGGAAAGCCATTGGTTATTTCTTTGCCATTGCTTCTTTCCTTTGCCTCAATTCCTAATGCAGGTTTTACGTACAAAGAACTCTAAGAAATGCCAATAGAGCAGGGGAGACCCAAGTGCTCACGTTGATGAGGGTCTGAAGAATGGTATGGATTAATTGCAGCTCTCCAGGACTGAGAACTGTAACCACGAATCCATAATCATCACAGACAACTGCTGAACACAACAGCTGCTCAGGCTCCCCATTAAACATATTTATAGTGGTGGCAATTCAGAAAACAGACACTGCTTTATGGAGAGTTAAAAAGTGATACCATTTGCAACACACACACACACATTAAACAACCATAAAGCTCCCCCCTGCACCGCACAGCATTGTAATAGATGCTGGCATTATGTCAGGAAAAGCACTTTCCTGGATTCAGCCACATTAATGTTCACCCTAATGAACTCTCTGGAGGAACTGTCATAAATGACAGAATATCATAAGAGAGCTTTGCTGCCAATAGAGGCCAGCGAGAGCCCAGACTGTGATTACATCCATGAGACGAGCTCTGAGCTGTGATTTTCCGAGGCAAGGCAGTGATATTTCTGGTTTATCAGTTATTCATTGGGTTAAGCTTGCTGCTTTTATCTCTGCAGTAGCATTTGAAGTAGGATTCATGGAAAAGAACTTTAAAGATGCCCTCCAAAGTTATTAGAGATAATAATTGAAATAGTTCTTTTGCCTGACAAAAAAGCCAATGGCTAAAATTATTCAAGCCTTTAAAAATCAGATAATAAACTAAGTTTCTTCCTACTGGTAATCAGCTCATTTCATTGCAAAGATCTTAGTAAATTCAGCTTGGTTAACTCCAGTCTTTTTAGAGAAGGTTATTCAGCGGTGAGTAGTTTAATTTTACTTCTTGTTTTTTTGATTTTTGGTTTGTTTGGTTGGTTGGTTTTTTTGAGTTGTATAAGCCCTAGGGAAGAGGAAGAGAGATGGCACCACATGGGAATATTTCTTTCTGTTCAGTTGCCATGTTCAATGCACTCAGGGAAGTTTGCTCACAAGAAAGCATTTACCCTAAAACATGCACAGGTCTCAGGAGCTGGGACCATTCCCAGTGAATGTCTGCACAGCCAGTCCTACACGGCAATGAGTCCCTCTCCTCCAGCACACCCTTCTCATGTAGAGCGTGGCAGTAATGCTCAGACATTCACAATCCAGTTACAGCTCTGACTGCCACCTTTCTGCTGTGACATCCAACCGACAGAGAACTTATTTCAGCAGGCAACTACTAAACGTAATAAATCACCAATCACTCAGACTATTTCCCACTTCATTTCAGGAATGTAGGTACATGCCTTCCCATCCATAGTGACTGTCATCCAAGGACAGCAGCATTTCTGCATTGGTTGCACCTCAAACAGACCTCTACCCTTCTCCTGTTCTGCTTCATTTTTTTTTCAGCACCTTTCTGCCTGATTTCAGCTCATTTTGCTGTTTTCTGCCTCCTTCCCTCTCCAGCTTGCAGCTGACCATAAACAGAGCACATGGGATTTCAAGTCACACTGTTATGCCAAGGGTCTGTCATTAGTCCAAACCAGCTCCATCACTTCTGGCAAAGAGTGATTTTATATAAATTGGAACTGTAGCCTCATTTCCAGAGGAACAGATACTCAAGTTTTGGATCCAGACTCCAGCCCCCATGCTGCAGTCCTCGCCTCCCTTGGAGCAGGATGGAGCCTACACAGCAGAGTGCAGGGAAGAGCAGCCTGACACAGAATAATTTCCCCATAATTCCCAGGGCCAGCAAGGGACAAGACACCAGATGTGCTGTGCTTCACACCCCCCCAAAGGCAATGACAGCTCTCTGCACCCAGGACCTGCTGGGATCAATTAATCAACCCTCTGCCTCCACTGCCCAGCAGGGTGGCAGAAGCAAAGCCAGGTGACACTCCCACCTTCCTCCCTGGGCTCTGCCACAGCTTTGCAGGAAAACAAACACTACTGCAGTTTTGCAGTCCTCCTTCTTTGCTTCCTTCTTTAATCCCTACAAAGGGGGGCCAGTAGGAGATAATAGAGCCTCCTGTGAGATTGAAGCAATTTACCAAGTCAAAGGTGTCCTCATTTAATAATCTCCACACCTCCATCACCCTGACAGCATGTCTTCAGCAAGCCATTACAGTCTGAAAAGCACTGGGGACAGGAGATAGGGAGGCCTGTCACAGTCACTGGTGAGCTCACTCCACAGCTTACCTGTCAGCTGCAATCAGGCATCCAGAGATTCCTCTGCTGCAGATCTGAAAGAAAGAAAAAAAAAAAAAAAAGAAAAATCAATCACCATCATCCTGATGTGAGAAAATCCCCAGTGCTCCAAACATACCAGGTAATTCATCACTTCCTCATAACATATATCAGTCCCTTGCTCCTCATCAAAACTAAACCCACCAAGAATTGAAACACAGAAGGCAGCCCTGCCTCTATGGAGCACTCCCAACCCTTTCCCTCCCAAACCCCCAAGCCCCCTAACAATAACTATTACAAAGCTGCTCACCCCAAGGAGTTGAGCTTGCTTCAGTCCTGAAAAGAACATAAACGGGGGTGATGATGTAGCCATTAAAGCAAGACTTCTACTCATGTTAGGAGCAGAAAAGCTCTGGAGACAGCCCAGAGCTGAGTCTTTCAGGAGGCCTCAGGAGAGCTTTTGATGTTGATGATGATGTCAGCCCATCATCCCTCCACAGCCAGATTCCAAATACCCAAATCTCTTGCCTAGGTTCAGCCAGCTACAGAACCCCAAGTCAAACAGGGACAAAGACAAAAGGGGAGTCACCTTCCTGCATTTATCCACCCACTAATCCCTCCCCTCCTGGAGTTCCTCACCTGCTCCACTGACCCTGACAGGTGGGGAGGGTAACTGAGCTCACCTGAGGGCTTGGGGCTAGGCCTAAAGAGACTTCTCACATTCCTGTGGTACAGAGGGAGCTCAGGCACCAGCACTTGGCTTCTTCTGGAGCTGAGGGTGGGTGGGTGGGAAGGGACTACAAAAGGATGGAAGGGCAGCAGGGCTCAGGTGCACAGCAGGACACAGGTTACATCCCAGACCATCAGCTGAGGTGTGCTGCACTGCAGGTTAATCAAAGCACTGTTTTGGCACCTGCAATTGAAGAGCAGAGCTGGGTGTGGGTCTCCAGTTTTGCAAAGGAACCTTTATTTCTTTAGGTTCCCTGAACAGCAGAAGTACAGATTTGGGCAAAGAAACCAAACACTGCCTTGCCTTCCTCATGGCTATTTCCTGGAAAACAAAGCAACTCCTTTAGAAAATGATCCCAAATCCCTGTATTTCCAGCTTTTCCTCACTGCTTGAAAACTACCATGGTCTCAGAATACTCTCCCATCTGCTAAGTGCTTGCAGGAATTTTGGGTTGTTTTTCATTTACCATCTTAATTAATTGCCCTGAAGCTTACCTTTCCCTTCTTACCTTTTGCTTATCAGCTCTCTCTTGTCACATTTGCTAATTATTGCAGACATTTTTGTTTAAGGAGGATTTGCTCCTTTCCTGCCAATCTTCTCTTTCTACTTGACCCTGAAGTAACTTTGAGTATCAAAGTAAACAAAAGCTGTCTGGTTTGAATATGGAAGAACAAGAACAATAAATGGGAAACAAATGGGCAAGTTTATGTGGTATTCATGGCTGCAAGTTCCCCACCTCTGCCCTGCATGAAGGGAGAGGTATTTAGCTGGAGGAGAACAAGCAGCACAGTCCCTCCTCCATCCCCTGCCCCATGCAGCACAGACACAGTGGCATGGCTGGGACAGGGTTATGTAAAGCAGCAGAGGTGGAAGCTGAGCACTGTTTATGTAAAGCAGCAGATGGTGGCATTACATAATCTGAAATGTTAGATATGCATATTATAATGTATAATTGATATATTTATATATCACTTTCACTGAGGCCATAGGACATTACATCTCAGGGATAATGCCTATTGCTAGTTGAGGTGTGGGTCTACAAACCATGTGACAAGTTGAACATATTTTTGGCTGCTACATCTCAAGAGAACACATTTAGGTGCAGATTTCCATCTCAGGTCTTCTCCCAGCAGATAAAAAAAAGGAAATAATTTGTGCTAAAAGCCATCAGAGAAAAGGTAAAGGACATTATTATCACTTTGCTTCATCAAGTGTTTGCAGGATCAGTACTCTGCAGCCAGAGCCGTGTTCACACTGTGCTGCTGCATGTCCCGGGCTGTCCTGTGCTGGTGTCAGCAGGCTGAGCACCAGGGAGACCTGAGGCCATGCTGTGGACACTGCTCTGGGGTCCTTTGTCACCTGCTGACAGACCAAAGGATGACAGAAGAGTGTGTGGATGGATCCCAGGTGCGCTGAAATTCCCATGGAGCACAGGGCTCCCAGCTGGAGGTACCTGACTGCACTTGTACAGGAGGAAAAAAAACGTTGCCCCATGTTTTCAGAAAAAGTGGCCCACTTCAGTGCTGCTGTGTGGCCTGTCCCCCAAAACAGAGCAAGTGTCCCACGCATAACGCTTGTAACAGCTGAAGACATGCTGAGGAGCTGGACTGTGTCACTCATGGCCACAGTCCCAGGAGCTCCCTGGCCCTCAGGTCAAAAGCCAGAGGTCTGTTGACCTCATGATAAGATTCATTTGCTCAGCACTGACAGGGACTCCTCGCTCCTGCTCCACCCGTGCTCAGACAGTGCCCTGGGCACCCACGGGGACCACAGTCATACCATTTTGGACTGATGAGCTCTTTGAGTCACCAGTGACTGGGGACCCCCACACTGGGCTGTGTGTGTCCTCTCAGTGGGGTGATGTGGGTGCAGGGCAGTGCCAGTCCTCTCGCAGCACCATCGGGGAGCAGGACCCCGACTGCAGGAGAGCAGATCAGCACCTGCCCTCACACCATCAGTCCCACCAGAACCTTCCTACTCATCCTGTTTCAGCACACAAACAGTTACTGCCACACAGCCTGCGATGGTGACAGGCCATTCTGACAGAGGAGAACGTGGGCATCTCCCTGGAAGCTGGCACTGGGCTTGAAATGGCCATTGGCCTTTAAATAAAGAAAGAGCATCAGGCTTTGAGTGCACATTAATTTAAAATGTAATTTTTATCCTCTGCCTGGGACTCACATGGGACTTATGCTATTAAATATTAAATACCAATACCCTTATGCAATGTGGCAGCTTTACTGAATAAAATTACATTAAACAATGAAATCAAAAGCATTTCATATATTAACCATTTAACAGGTTTCAGAAAACAGTGCGAGAACCCAGAGAGGATGTGTCCTTAGGTCAGTGACCCCCAGTAAGCTCCTGGCCCAGGGGCATGTGGACCCTGGCATGTGCCCAAATGGGGGGTTCCTTCTTACAGCTGCACTGCTCCAGTGCCCGTCACCCTCATGAAGACAAGGCTTGATCAAAACAGAGGTTTGAAGGGCAGATCATCTTCCAATTTGTGTGAAGTCCAACAGCAAATTACAATTTCTTTTTTTTTCCCTTTCTGCTTTTTTCCTTACATTGCACTCCAGGGAATTATTTGAATATTTTGCATGAGGCTGACTATCAGAGTGATGTGGAGCTGACTTCATTCCATGTCTGGACAGGAATACGAGCACTTCCAGAGCACTAACCAAAACTGACTTCTAAAAAACATTTGGTAGCACCAAACTTCAATTCTCCAGGGCTTGCAAATAAACAAACCCAACAAAGCCCCAACTCTGGCAAGATAAATAGCCTAAAAATCCTAAGCGTTTCCAAATTCAGATTGCAGAGGACTCTACAGCAGAACATCATCATAATAAAAAACCAGGGGCAGGGGAGCAGATGACCTCCTCTATCCATTTATGATACCATTCTACAGTTGATTTTATCATATTAAAAAAACATATGCAGTCATGTGTTTAACTCTCAGCTCATCTCAGGATTTAAAACAATGAGATGTAAGTTATTATCAGCCTGACTGATACCCAAAAGTTAATGCACCTCTGGGCTATACCTGCTCTGTGAGCCTTGATTTCAGAAAACCTGCTTAGATGCAGTCTGAGGTACAACTCAGCATAAGCACAGGTTAAGGACCTGCTCCACATAAGGCACTTCTCTGAAGTTCCTGGATTTAAATATTTTCCTAACCCAAAGTTTGAGTGTCCTCCCACATGAAGCCCTTTGTCAGCAACTGTCCAGAGCACAAACTGGGAGGGGTAAAAGCACCTTGTTATTAGAGCAGGAAGGCTGGTCCTATTTTTGACCAATTCAAAAGGAGAGAGAGGCTTGGGAAAGCTCTTTGTTGAAACACTCATCTTACAAAAATAGAACAGGAAGAAGAAAAGTCTTTCCCAATTTCTTGAAATGGACTCTATGTTCAGATGGAGATTTTTAGAACAGAAAACTAATGCGATGAAAAGTAATTGGAAACCTGTTTGAACTGCTTTAAAAAGACTGTCTTTAGGTTAAACATTCAAGAGGAAATAAAGAAGTGCAAAAGCTTGGAGGCAAAGCAACCTTCAATAAAGCACATAGCTTGCTTCTGCAGCCCAGGGAGAGAGCGTTCCAGCCTGATCAGCCCCAGCTCAGCCATGTGCTCCTGTGACCAAAACACTCCATCCATCCCCACTACTGGAGTAAAACAACACACAGAAGCCCAGGTACCAAGAACACAGATACCACAGAACAGTGTGAACATGGCCACTTGTACATTTTCTGTCAGAAAAAGTGACTGAAGGAATTTCTGTTGTACCATTTGCAGTTCCAAGTTTAACCTCTGCCACAAGGAGATTTCCAAACATTAAACACATTTCCCATGTGCTGTGGAAGAACACTGTGTACCTTTGAAATTAGCTGTTTGCACCATTCTTTTGCATCTGCTTGTGGCCCAGCAACCTGCCAAGGACACAGCCAGCCAAAACAGCAATAAAAATAATTTCCAAGGTCAGGGCAGTGCATCACGCTTGGGGCATTAAGAGTCTCAGCTTTGCTCTAAGCCCCGTTGATAAACAGACTGGAGGCAGCAGGGAGGACCCTCCACTGGGGTGTTACACTTCTCAGTGCCCATATGGCTCAGTGAGATTTTGCTCAATTTTATGTCATGGCTGGAGAGATCAGAGTTTTCTTTGAAGAGCAGTCAATATTCCCATGGTATTTTCCTGTTCTAGCAGCAAACTGCAAGGAGAGTAGTCCCTGCAGGGCTCTTGTGAATGAGAGGGCTCTGGAGAAGCAGTGACGTGCCAGGACACAGGACTGTGCAGGGGCTGAGGACAACTCCTCAAAGAAGTGCTGGTGCAGCAAGAAGGGAATCTCCACAGAGAGCCAGACCTGGGAGTCTGAGCTGAGCAAAACGTCTCCTCAAATTTGGCTGTGCCCCTCCCTGAAGAATGGCAAGAAGGGATGTTTCTGCATCTCAGACGCAAGAGAGGGTCCCTCTGAACTCCATGAGGGAAGTGCCATGAGGCAAAGGTCATTATAACACACTATATTTCCCAGATTATTTTTGATATGGGCTGCCTCTGGTCACTTTATGATCACGATTGCAATTCAAAGAGAGAAAAAAAAAGTCTGGGCCTAAACAAGAGCATTGACCATGAAGT